GTATTTTGCAAGCCAGAAAACTGACTGGGTTAGCTGAATTTTCTTATGATGAAGACAATATAACTTTGTTCTTAATAAAAGTAAGATAAAAATGTTTTGATACTGAAACTTTTCACAAAATAAAAATATATAAACTCTATATTATATTGCTTTATTAATCTGGCATCTATCATTCTGTCTTTCTCTATGGACAAAAGAAAATACAATATTTTTAAAACAAATTCTTTATAGGTTAAAAACAGTATTTACTAGATTTCTGACAGAGCTGACAGAAATAATGGGAGTTTGTTTTTTCTCAGGTTACACTTGAGTGGTGTCTTAGCCCTTTTGCTTTCATTGGAGTTTTTTGTTTGTTTTCTGTGCTGGATCTAGATGCTGTCCCTGAACTTTTGTGCTCAAGGCTTGTGTTCCATTACTGGAGCCAGGGCTCCACTTCTAGCTTTTTGATAATTAATTGGAGATAAGAATCTCATGGACTTCCCTGCCTGGGTTGGCTTCAAACTGCAGTCCTCAGGTATCTGTCTCCTGAGTAGCTAGGATTACAGGTATGAACCACCAGCACCTAGCTTTTTTTTTTTTTTTTTTAATTGAAAAATACAAGATTATCTGGGTACCAGTGCTTACCTACATCCCAAGTCCAGAACGTTGCATTTCTTTTTTTTTTTTTAATTTTTTTTTGGGTCCGGTCGTGGGGCCTGAACTCTGGACCTGGGTACTGTCCCTAAGCTCTTCAGCTCAAGGCTAGCGCTCTACCTCTTGAGCCACAGCTCCACTTCCGGCTTTTTTCTTTTTGCTTATGTGGTGCTGAGGAATCGAACCCAGGGCCTCGAGCATGCAAGGCAAGCGCTCTACCACTGAGCCACCTTCCCAGCCCCCAGAACGTTGCATTTCTAAGTGTGCATAGCCATTAGGGAAGACCAAGGTTAGGAACTATAGCTAATTTCTGATTCAAGATGTGCTGAAAAACCCTTTCTTAAGTTCTCTCTTTAGAGAACCATCTAAAATAATGGTTTAAAAATTATGCAGATCCATAAGAGAATAGAAGAGATTCCAGCATATACTGAAAGATACCATAGGTGGAAAAAAAAGTTAACTGAACCAGTGGAACAGAGAAAACCATCATTAGCATATGCACAGCGCACCTACAGTTCTTCCTGTGGTCAGGGCTCCATACCTAGCTCTGCGTTCCAGGGTTTGCTCCAAGACTTGATGGTCTGTCTAGGGAAGTTGACACCCAGCCCACATCCACAATCCTCAAGTGATAATTTAACTTTGAAAAAGTAAACTCTCTGAGGAAAGGTTGAGTAGCTAGTGTGGATTTTGCACTCTAGAACTAAAGGACAGTTGGGATATCCTATCTTAACTGGCTTCTTAATTACTTCATGTGTGCAAGGTTATTGGCTTCTAATGAGATTCTACTCTCTTATTCCAAAATACATAATAATCAGAGTCCACTAGATAGTTAGCTAAAACCTACAACATGACAAGGGAAAAACAAGATTAGATGTGTTTTCTGACCGGCTATGCTGCTGCACACTTGTAATCAAAGTACTCAGCAGTGAAGGTAGGAGAATTGCAAGTTCAAGACCAGTTTGGGCCGCATAGAAAGCCCTTTTCCCCAAAAATGAACAAACAAGCAAAAGCATCTGTGTAAAAATGTTCACCTCTATACATCACCTTTATAATAACAAGTTTAAAAGATGTTTTTGATTGTTAAACTGCATGGATAACCAGGGAAAAGTTCATTAAAACCACAGCACTGCTATCAGATTGGCAAAATCTAAAACCTGATAGTATAGCAGGTATCACAGACCTGGAATGTGATAGGAGTCTCACCCTCTGCTTAAACCGAATATGTGTCATTACAACTACTTTGGAAGTATTTGGTGTTGTCTGTCATTTGAAAGCATATAAATGCCTGGTGGTCCAAGTTTCCCCAGGGTATGTGCATGAGAAAAATTGTCATAACAAACAAGGTCTCTAGGTATTATTTCTAATAACCCAACTTGAAAAAAAAATGTCCACCAAGAATTAGAAATTATTTTCACAGCCATAAGTCAAAGTGAATTTTTTAAAATAAAAGCTTTAAAATTGAATGAACTACAGCTACAGGTAACAATTAACACATATACACAGTGATTTTTTTTTGTTTGTTTTCACTTTGACTGCTCTGTTACAGTTATTCTTTTATTATTATTATTATTGTGAAAATACCGTACAGAGGAGTTACAATTACATGGGCAAGGGCAAGGTAATGAGTACATTTCTTTTTTTTGTTGTTGTTGTTGTGGGGCTTGAACTCTGGGCCTGAGTGCTGTCCCTCAGCTCTTCAGCTCAAGGCGAGCTCTCTACTACTGGAGCTACAGCACCACTTCCGGTTTTCTAGTGGTTTATTGGAGATAAGAGTTTCATGGACTTTCCTGCCTGGGCTGGCTTTGAACCGTGATCCTCAGATCTCAGCCTCCTGAGTAGCTAGAATTACAGGCGTGAGCCACCAGCGCCTGGCTAATGAGTACATTTCTTATCGAGCATTGTTGCCTCCTCCTTTGTTTCCCCTTCCCATCCCCCTCCCCCCCCAAAAGACAGCAGCCTCCATGATTCCTCAGATAAAGTTAGAGCTAGGTGAAGCCAAGCTATCTTGTTAGAGCTGCATCCCTATGAAGGAAGTGGTTATCCAAAAAGCCTAAGGTGGCAAAGCACTGGTGGCCCACGCCTGAAGTCCTAGCTACTCAGGAGATGGAAAGCTGAAGGATCACAGTTCAAAGCCAGCTGGGCAGGAAAATCAGTAAGACTTCTATTTCCAATTAACCACTGGAAACTCAAAGTGGAGCTATGGCTCAAAGTGGTAGAGCACTAATCTGAGCGAAAGAGTTCAGGGACAGCGCTCAGGCCCTGAGTTCAAGTTCAACAACTGCAAAAAAAAAAAAAAGCCTAGGATGATGTCTAAGCCATGAAGCCCATGAAGGAGGAAGGGAACTTGTGATGGGGATTGGACTTGGAGGATGTCCGAGGTGCTTACATGAATATTCCTGACAGTTTCATTCTGTGCCCTTTTCAATGTTAGATCAGTTCACCACTAAAAACATGCTTTAAGAGCTGATTTCCTCGAGGGAGCTCTGTGTGTGTGTGTGTGTGTGTGTGTGTGTGTGTGTGTGTGTGTGTGTGTGTGTGTGTAGAAGAGATTATTAATTTAATCAGAAGCCCTTCTAATTGTATTCGTGTGTCCATTTTCCTGAACACGGTGTGTCTAATTTATTTATTAGCCAACAATTCCATGAAACATGAATGTATCTCCATTTTATAGATGGGAAATTAAGGCCTAAAGTTATTGAACCTGAGCAAGGTTATACAGCTAGTAGATGGTGTCAGGACTTTGACCCCAGAGAACCGGAGTTTTCAAAAAATAATCTCAAAAGGGAAATTTAATTATTAATTAAGTGAGAAAAGAAATGCAGATTCATCAAAGAGAGAAAGCTTTCACTTATTCATTTGGAAAAACCCCACATTCTTTCACACACATAAATCTTATGTTAGCAGGGACTTTGTTGCTCAGCAATTGTTTATTGCTCGTCCCTCCGTGCTGGCCACAGGAGGTGCTGGGGATAAAAGCTTCCTGACAGATGCACCCTTCCCTCAAGCAACGTGAACCTTACGTGGGAAGTCAGTTCACTGTAGAGGCGATCAGCCAAGCGGTAGGCTCCGTGGCTAATACAGGGTAGAATCTTAACAAAGATGTTTGGACATAGGTATCTCAGAGTCAGAAGAATGTTCACAAGGGCTGGTGATGCACACTTACAACCCCAGCACTCAGAAGGCTGAGGCACTTGGATCGTAAGTTCAAAGTCAATCTGAGATACATTGTGAATTTTTTTTTATAATATTGAAAAGTTAGAAAATAATTTGAGTGTTTAGGTATAAAAGAGATTACCTGAACCAATAATCCCACTCAGTTGACTATTTTGTATCTCATTTAAAAGTCAAGGTTGCGAATCCTCTGATCATGTGAGAAAGTCCATACAGGATTAAATGGAAGAAAATTGGACATAAAATTTGACATGTGTCCCAAAAATAAAGTCAGCTTGCAGAAGAGTACAGAAGAGAAGGAACAAATGACAAGGAAAATTAACTAAAACCTGACATGATTTTATTGACTTAGTGGAATATTTAGAGTGATTTTACTTTCTACATTTTTGATGCCATTTTTTTCTGTAAAGGATGTGAATTACTTTTTAAGGGAATACTGAGACAAGGGACCGGTCATGGGCACTAGCCTGCCAGGCTAGTGGAGGTTGAGCCAGCGGATTTCCAGTTCAAGGTCAGTCTGGGCTAAATAGTGAGACCTTGTCTCAAGAAATAAACAACTGAGCTGGAAGCTGGTGGTTCACGCCTGTAATCCTAGCTACTCAGGAGGCAGAGATCTGAGGATCGTGGTTCAAAGCCAGCCTGGGCAGGAAAGTCCATGAGACTCTTACCTCCAAATAAACCACTCAGAAAACTGGAAGTGGTGCTGTGGCTCAAGCGGTAGAGCACTCACCTTGAGCCGAAGAGCTCAGGGACAGCCTCCAGGCCCAGAGTTTAAGCCCCATGACTGACCCCCCCAAAAAAAGGAAAGAACAAAACTGGAAGAAGAGACACTTTTTTCATGTAAATGTGATACCATGTTCTAACTTCCTCCACTAAGGGGAGAAATTATGTCATATAATTGTACTTAGAGATGTTTAGAACCACTCAAGAATGGAGCCAAGGTCGGGCACTAGTGACTCACACCTGCATTCCTAGCTACTCAGGAGGTTGCGATCTGAGGATCACAGTTCAGAGCCAGCCCAGGCAGGCAAGTCCATGAGACTCTAATCTCGAACTAATCATAGAAAAAGCTGAAGATGCTGCTATGGCTCAAAGTGGTAGAATGCTGCCCGTGAGCAAAAGGGGCTCAGGGACAGCACCCAGGCCTAGAGTTCAAGCTTCATGACGAGAGAGAGAGAAAGAGAGAGAGAGAGAGAGCATGAGTTGGCTTGGTGTCAGGCTTGTCCCTGGACCTCTCATGGTGTCCCATCCAGAGCAGACTGTGGCTCTGAACCGTTGCCTGGCCTCTGCCTGTGGGCTACTGGCACTGAAGGGGGTTTCACAGAGGAACAAAGAAAAATGAATGGAGAAGAGGCCAGGCGCTGCAGGCTTACACCTGTAGTCCAAAGCCACTGAGGTGAAGTGTGTGTGGGGGGGGGGGGGGGCTGAAATGTGTGGCTTTCAATATGAAGTCAGCTGAACAGACGAATTTGAGAGTCTCTTACCTCCAGTTAACCAGCAAAAAGCTGGAGGTAGAGCTGTGGCTTCAGTGGTAGAGCACCAGCCTTGAACAAAAAAAGCTAAGCAAGCATTTGAGGCCCTGAGTTCAGGCCCCAGTTCAGGCACCAGAAGGAAAGGACAGAAGACCTGCGAGGATCTTTGTTTTCTGTGTGTCCTCTGGTCCGTGCTGACCGCCGGAGGCCCTGGGAAGGAGTCTGCCTCCACGCCCGTTCGGGGCAGGGCACAGTTCAGCTGCCATCGTCAGGACTGCGGTTCCCTTCCCTCACTGGCTGGCATTTGCCGCTTAGAGACCCCTCCCTTCCTTGCATTTCGTGTTATAACATCTGGACTTTGCCTCTTCAAAGCCACCGCAGACACTTTCCCTAGTGTCGTGCGTGTTACTTAGAAGAGTCTCATCCTTTTTAACGGACTGCTGGGTTATGAAAGTCAGTCACTTTGTGGACCTACTTACATTCTACATGAGTGAAAATGCGGAGCCAGGGCATTCTTGGGAAGAAGGGATCTTGAGGCCAGGTTGGGGCTCGAATGCTAGAGTCCTGTTCCTGGAGCATGATGAGAGTTCTCCCATGAACATCGCAGTTCTTGGCTGTGGTGGAAGGGATGCGTACCGCCTCCATGAGCCGGCCTGGCACCCGACTTCCTGAATCCAAAACCCAGCTCCTGTTTAGCTGATACTGAGACCTTGGGTGTGCACTCTGCTTCTCTCGGCCTTAGTTTTCTTATCTTTAAAATGGCAGATCCTGGCACCAGTAGTTCTAAAATCCTAGCTTCTTGGGAGGCTGAGGCTTGGAGGATCACAGTTTAAGATCAGCATGGGCAAAAACGTGTGTGACGCTCCATTTCCAATTATCAAAAGCCAGGCTGAAGATAAGCCTCAGGTAGCAGAGCGTCAAGCAGAGTAAGAAGCCCTGAATTGAAGGCCTAGAACTAGCACACATACAAAATTAGAAACCTTAAGACAGTGATTAGCATATAATAAAATGCCTTAAGAAAGGCTTTTTAGAAATTGGATTTTAAATTGGATTTGTAATTACAACAATTCAGGTGTGTTAAACATGTTAACAGGTTTTCCTGTTATAAGGAACCCACAAGTAATCTAAATTTCCTTTCATTGCCTTGTTTTTTTTTTTTTTTAATTTTAGACTCATTATAAGTATGTGCCTTTATGGTGAGCTGGCAATACATCTGCTTTGTTTTGGGCACTAATTTCATTGGCATGGTTTGCTACTCCAAGCAGAGGGCTGTGTTACTCGAGTATCTAGTTTACTCCTGGCTCTGCTCATGAAGACTTGGTGGAATCTGTAGCTGAAGAGCTTTCGGGGGTGAGGGGAGTTCCAACGCAGTGTGTATGAGTCATAACTTTCACTCTTTCTTCACACCAGGGAAAACTGGAGGAGTGCCTAAAGCAGTTAAAGGAGGAAAGAATAATACGACTTAAGGCTGATAAGCGAGTCAGTGAGGTAAATATGTCTTTGCTCATATTCTGGTTAGTGCTTTGTCTTCTGTTTTAAAACCAATGCCGCGCCAATTCCTGGTGGCTCACACCTGTATTCCTAGCAACTCAGGAGGCTAAGATCTGAGGATTAAAATTCACAGCCAGCTTGGGCAGGAAAATCTCTGAGACTCCTGTCATCAATTAATCACCAAAAAAGCTGGAAGTAGAACTGTGGCTCAAATGGTAGAGCACTAGAGCAAAAGCACTTAGGGATAGCACCCAGGAGCTGAATTCAAGCCCTTCCATGCCCCACCCCAAAAAAAAGTCATATTAAGCCATGTATGCATAAACACCTAAACTTTAAAGGGAGAAAATACAGTTTGTTGCATGGTAATCTTTGTATTATATATGTTGGCATGTGGTTATCTTCCAAAAGCTTACTTTAAAAATGTAAAACTTAGCTGGGTACTGGTGGCTCACATCTATCATCGTAGTTACTCAGAAGACTCAGATCTGAGGATCATGGTTCAAAGCCAGCCCAGGCAGGAAAGTCTGTGAGACTCTTATCTCCAGTTAATCACCAGACAACAAGAAGTGGCACTTTGACTGAAAGTGGTGGAGTGCTAGCCTTGAGCAGAAGAGCTCAGGGACAGCGCCCAGAGTCTGAGTTCAAGCCCTGTGACTGGCAAAAAAAAAGTAAAATTTATAAAACTATCTTGTCCAAGGTTTTATATGTCTGGCTTTTTTTTTTTTTTTGTAGGTTGTGGGGCTTGAACTCTGGGCTTGGGTGCTGTCCCTGTGCTCTTCAGCTCAAGGCAAGCGCTCTACCGCTTGAACCACAGCACCACTTCCGGTTTTCTAGCGGTTTATTGGAAATAAGAGTCTCACAGACTTTCCTGCCCAGGCTGGCTTTGACCCATGATCCTCAGATCTCAGCCTCCTGAGTAGCTAGTATTATAGGCATGAGCCACTGGCACCCGGCTTACAGCTTCTTTTCTTTTTTCTTTTTACTTTTTTCTTTTTTTTGGATTTTTTTTTTTTTTTTTTGGGTCCAGTTGTGGGGCCTGAACTCTGGGCCTGGGCACTGTCCCTCAGCTCTTCAGCTCAAGGCTAGCGCTCTACCACTTGAGCCACAGCGCCACTTCCGGCTTTTTTTCTTTTTGCTTATGTGGTGCTGGGGAATTGAACCCAGGGCCTCATGCATGCAAGGCAAGCGCTCTACCACTGAGCCATCTTCCCAGCTCCATGGATTTTTTAAATATATATTTGTATTGTAAAAATACTGTACAGAGGGGTTACAGTTACATGAATAGGGTAGAGTACATTTCCTATCGAGCATTGTTACCTCCTCCTTTGTTTTTCCCCTACCATCCCTTCCCGCCCCCCCTCTCCAACACCTCCCACCTCCCCCGACATTGTCAAGTTGTTTTCAACATAGTGTCTTGTACATCTCATCGTCACAATGGGTCGACCTGCATCCCCATTTGAGCTTTCCGATATACCCCTTCCCTCCCCAAATTACAAAAACCTATATATACAAGATACGGAACACTGGAATCAAATACAGTGAAAACAGGGGTTATACCATGGGTGAAGAACATACAAAAGGAACGAAAGAACCACATCGTTTATAGCTTATTTTCTATTCATGAAATGTTCTGTCACTGTCTAGTGACAGTGAAATAGCACGGTGAATAATGTAAAGAAGAACAAAGATAATGAAAAGTTGCTAAGAATGCATTGAAAGATAAAATCTATTCTGTGAGTATTCAACTGAACTAACATGCGTAAAAGCTAGAGAGTTCCATGTAGATAGACTTTATTACTCCAAATTGAGATGAAGGGAGAATCTTTGGAAGTATATCTGTTAGGTGGAAGGACACTCAGGAAATTTGGGGCACCTGATTATATAAGGCAAAAAGTGCATCAGGACTGCACTGACCTTAGTGAGAAACACAAGTGTTGGGCTGACTTGTGATTTCGAATATGGATGCTGACGGGGCAGAGCTACAGGGAGTAATAGCCAGGAAGCCAAGAGGAAGGGGCTATTGGTAGTTGTATGGCTAATCAATTTGATACGTATGACTTGGGACTTTCAAACATGTGCATTATATGTTAAGCTTACTAAAATTAATCCTTAGCAGATTATATCACGATTATAATTTTGCTCAGCTAATTTTCTGGTACAGTGATCCACCATGAATTTAACCAGTTAGATGTATGATTTTATGGAAGATTGTGAATGAAGCAGTAACTGACATATAAGTGTTACATACAACGTTTTGTCAAGAATCTTCAAGTTTGGTTATGTGTTACGGTTATTGCTTTTCCAGTGGACATTAGATAAGTTATAAATGAATTTACATTGTAAAAGTTTTCATTTCCTCAAAAAACTGTTCTCTTTAGATGATAAGAGAAAATCATATCTGACGCCTCCAATCCTCGAGTTTTTTAAAATCACATCTCTCGTTTCCAATCCTCTCTTACAGCTGGAAACTGAAAATGCCCAATTAAGAAACATAAATTTCTCGCTGTCTGAAGCCCTTCAGGCGCACTCACTGACGAGCATGGTCCTGGATGATGAAGGCATTTTGGGCAGCATCGAGAGCTCTTTTCAGAAGTTCCATGCTTTCCTGGATCTCCTTAAAGACGCCGGGTTCGTGGGCTCTCTGGGGCGTTCCTCTTCTGTGACATTAGTGCTCAGTGGTTGTAGCAGTGGTCACGGCTCCTCTTAAGTCATGCTCAGTGTGTTGTTACAAGTAATATTCTTGGTTTTGCGTTTTTATACGATACTAGGGCTTGAACTCAGGAACTGAGCACCGTCTTAGCATTTTCACTGTAGGCTGGTGCTACTCCACCTGAGTGAGCCACCCCTCCACTTGTAACTTTTTAATGGTCAGATGAAGATGAGTCTCACAGACGTGGCTGCTGGGCTGGCTTGGAATCCCAATCCTCAGATCTTAGCTTCCTGAGTAGCTAGGAAAACAGGTGTGAGCCGCTAGCACCCAGCATACTTGATATTTTTAGGGGAGAATTAATTCTAAAAGGAAGACTAAAGGGCAGACTTTCCTGGTAGACAGACCATCTTAAAAACTAACCTGTAGATAGAGTAATTGCTAGGTATAATTCTTGGTAAAAAAACTAAATGTATTTTAATTGCACATAATCAGCACATGCAGGAATTTCCTTTCCTTTTATTCATTTGCTAGTAAGTTAGAGTTAAGTTATTGCCATAGATACTAGAATGCTTATGTATCTGCCGGGAAGATATAGGTACAGATACAGAGCACGGTTCTCAACTACAAGTGATGTTGCTATGAAAGAGAGCTGGAGGTGGTTGCTGAGTGGTGTCGGTGAATGAGTTGACACTAGGAAGGCACTAACACCTCCT